AAGTGGGATCATAAACCATTAGCCAATTTGAATAAAGTTACTTCAGCATTTTATGAAAGGCTTCTGGCACGTAATTTAGTAAGATCAAAACCAGATTAAATCAAAATGAAAAATGGACAGCTATCTTCTTTTTCAATGTCAACTTGTTTTATCTTTTCTCTTCTTAGAAATTAATATTTGGTTCTTCTAGTTATATTGCAGCATTCCCAGACATAATGGAGCAGCCAACACAGCATTATCTTCTGAGCTGCAATCAATGCTGTAATAAGCAGCTTTCAGGGCTTTTTTCCCCCCCACATCCCATTCACTGTACTATGATACTGCAGAAGTTGGCACTGAAACAAAGTTGCTGCACCAGTTTCAAGGCTAATTTTCACAGTGAATTATCAAAGACCATAGGTGCCACAGCCAGGTTGCAGTGCTGCAACATAAATGTATTGTTAATTATTGCATGGCTGCATGATAAAACGTATATGAATGAAACGTCCTCAAGACAATCATTGCTTGTTAACCATTCCAGATCAAGAGGAAGGTGAGCACTTTCACAAGGCAGAATTTTATAGCTCTTTAGAAAAGGAATATGCAGCCACACTGGGTAGAAATGTAACAGTTTAGTCCTCTTTCTGCTGAGTTCCTGCTCATCGCCTTAATGGGGAGACAGCAAGTTGGTAAAGATTTTAAAGGGAAAAGCCAGCACTAGACTGCTTTGTGCATGTCCTATAGAAAGCAGCTAATGAGTAATATTGATGGTGGATTGGAAGCAGGTCACTCATTCACAAGAATGTTTGGTACAGTAAGATAAAGAGAAGACCAGAGAGCCATTCTTATCCACAGAACGGAAGAAAGATTGGGCACAATATACTGTTATCTCTTCTAGGCCTCCAAGTTTGCAGTAATCACACCTTTACCCTCAAAATGCTGCAGCTTCACGGAGTAAATTTCATTCAGCTCTCCTTGTGGGTGGTGGTTTGATACATTGCTGCTCGGCACCTGACTATAATGCAACCATAAATGTGCCACCCCTGGGTGTACATTCACATATCAGTTAGTCCCAACTCTTTACAAAGAATAGAAATATAAAATAACTTTTGTTTTTATAATAGGACAGATGTAGACTCCGAAATTCTTGCATGTTAAGTTTTCAAAACACTAATTATATTGATAACCATTTAAAAGACTATTATGGCAATGATCAAATGGTAAAGACACATCCACATTTTGTTAGTATTGAACAAACGTGGGAAAAGGTTTCATTCAGTTATTCCAAGGTGCTAAATTATATCAGAGGTGAGGGGAAACGTTCGTTTTTCCATCATTCTACAATGACGGATTTAAAGTTGAAAATTACTAGTCCAATAGAAATAGCCGTTTCATTTTGTATTCCACACAAAAATTCATTAAATAAATTTATGATCCTACATGTGCATAAAGTTATTCCATTGCTCAACCCATAAAAAATTACTTTTCTTTGAGAAGATGGTTTATTAAATCATGAGAGACATGGATAGGGTGCATAGCCAAGGTCTTTTTCCTAGGGTAGTGGAGTCCAAAACAAGAGGGCAGAGGTTTAAGGGGTGATGGGAAAGATTTAAAAGGGACCTAAGGGGCAACTTTTTCACACAAAGTTGTGCGTGTATGGAATGAACTGCCAGAGGAAGTGATGGAGGCAGGTACAATTACAACATTTAAAAGGCATCAAGATGGGTACATGAATAGGAAGGGTTTATAGGGATATGGGCCAAATGCTGGCAAATGGGACTAGATTACTTTAGGATATCTGGTCGGCATGGACAACTTGGCCCGAAGGGTCTGTTTCTGCGATATGCATTTCTATGACACTATGTAATACAAATATTTTCAGAAGACAACTATCAGTTTCCATGCACTTTAATTTTTACAATACAGACAAATATTCCTTTTTCCATTTTAGCATGATTCCTCATTCAGTTATGCTGGAAATAGAGGCCGATATGCATTCATAAAGTGTAATTTACAGACATTACATTTTCTGCCAAGTTACCTACAGCCTAATTCAATTAGCTTATTCAAGTCAGCATCAAATGATGTGTTTTGTTTTAAAAAGCCCACATATTGAATGGAATAGAGATTTTTCAACAGCTGTTGTTGTGCTGCAGCTGCCTGTTTGAAATCAGACATGAGAAAAGATTTTGGTAGTACTCTTATGAATCTCAGAGGCAAGAATATACCAAGGAGACAATAATTTTGGTCACCATAAATGCTCAAGAATCAAAAATTACATCAAGGAGGTATTCTAGTTATCAATCTTAAAACATAGAGGTTAGTATGAGATTACTAACTGTATCACTCAAATTTCTCCCTTTATCTTCCAAGGGCAGTGATTCAAGGTGAAACTATCAGCAACGGTTAGTCCACAGCATGTTGTATTGAATGTGGAGAATAATAATTCATAGATAGGGTGGGTAGGAAGAATTATATACAGCTAAATCTGATTACATCCTTACCAATGATCACCTTCATGCAGAGGTTCCCCACCACGCCACCCCACTCCCTCTGCCATCACCTGCAAAACAAAGAACTCTGATTGAGCCCCGTCCCTAGCCCATATACCTCAAAGTTAATTACAATACTTTAGCATGGAAGCTGAAAGATATACAAGTGATTTTAGTAATTACTTACATAAAATGCATGACGCCAACTGTCAGAACATTCAAATGAGGAGTACCACCTATTTGGCCCATTGTGGCTAATGTGATTGTGGCTCTTCCTTTCCTGTCTACTCCCTACACCCTTTGACTCCCTTGTAGAATAATTTTAAAACATATTTACAACTAGCATAATGCCTAAGTGCAGTCACTGTTCGGACAAAACCTGAGATGTTAACTAAAGAAGTTAATGTTCTCCCTCCACAGATATGCTTACCCTGCTGATTGTTTCCATCATTTGATTCTTCTTCATTATTGCATTGTTTTAAAAGCACAAACTACAAACAAAGGCTCCAAAATTGATTCTTACATTCCTCTAGCCTATATACATCCATTAATCTAAATATTCTTAATCTATAGGCAACCTTTTATCCATATTGTCACATTCCCTTTATTGTACACCTTGATTTCAGTAACATAAAAATTGTTAAACTTGAGAGTGTGCAGAAAAGCATGCTGCTGGGACTGGAGAGTTTGAGTTATAGCGAGAAGCTGAATAGGCTGGGTTTTTTTATTCCTGGAGCGTCGGAGACTGAGGGGTGACATTATAGAAGTTTATAAAATCATGAGGAGCATGGATAGGGTGACTAGCTGATGTCTTTTACCTGGGGGTGGGGGGGAGAGAGGGAGAGAGAGAGAGAGAGAGAGAGAGAGAGAGAGCGAGAGCGGGGAGTCCAAAACTAGAGGGCATAGATTTAAAGCAAGAGGGGAAAGATTTAAAAAGGACCTGAAGGGTAACTTTTTCACACAGAGGGTGGTGTGCGTATCGAACAAGCTGCCAGAGGAAGTGGTGGAGGCAGGTACAATTACAACATTTAAAAGATATCTGGATAGGTATATGAATAGGAAGGGTTTAGAGGGATATAGGCCAAATGCTGTCAAATGGAACTAGGTCAGATTTGGGTGCTTGTCAGTTTCTGTTTCTATGCTGAATGACTCTAGGTACCATATCAAATTCTGTTTGAAACTTAATTTGCATTGCAAATCTGTTGGCAATACTACTCTATAAGAGCTCCAATAAACTTATCTCACAATACATGCTTTTTAAAAATCCTTCCTAGCTGCCGTTATTTAATTAACATATCACTAGGTGAATAATTTCAGCCCATTTGACTTCTAGTCTTCCACTGGAGAAAAATATTCACTAAATGACTAACCATTAAAAAGAAAACAGCAGTGTGACTCAGGCATCCAAATATATAAGTTCAGAGCAACTCAGGAGTCCATATACATAAGTGAGAGGACAACATGGGAACAAGCCTAAAATCAATGAAGCCATTTAAATTCATGCCTGATCTATAGCTGAGCTCTGTTTATCTACCTTTGACGCTTTCCCATTGAGAACATACCCACAAATTAACCTCTTCACTACTTCCCAGTTCCTCAATGATTAAGAATTGACATTAACTAAATATTACAGAAGAAGAACAGTTCAATGGGTCTAGTTTAAAAGCTGTTTCAGAGTATCAGCACAGGCACTAAAAGCTCCCTTTCTCTGCTGTAAAATATTATCTCTAAGTTATCCAGAACAGTTCCTGGGACTAAGAAAAATCAAGGAATATAACACAAGTATCCTCAAACTGGAGTTAGTTCTTTAAGGCACATTTAAAATTGGGAAACACGCACATGATATGCTTCCTTGCTGTGCTGTTTAAACGTAAATGAATGAAAATTCAGCGGACCAACAAAATATAGATTCATACTTTTAAAAATACATAAATTGTTCACTGGATTAAAGAGTCTTGTGTGTGCCTACATGACAAATTTGGCCAGATGACAACACTCACTTATAACAGCTTTGGCCCAGAAACTGTTGGCCCTTTTCCCAAGGACAGCCAGTAAGAGGTGAATTCAGTTAAGTGTTTCTCATACAGTTTTCCTAACACAATGGGAAAGGAAAAATGTCACTGGACTAACAATCCAGAACTAGGACGTTACCTGGGCACATCCATAAACCAGGGGGCGGTCAGCATTACCTGGGCACACCCCTACCCCAGGGGGCGGTCAGCGTTACCTGGGCACACCCCTACCCCAGGGGGCGGTCAGCGTTACCTGGGCACACCCCTACCCCAGGGGGCGGTCAGCGTTACC